GCTAATTGTAATGACTTTGTATACTGCAGGGTAGCATTTGATTTTACTCCAGGTGTAACTAAAGTCTTATTTAAGTGTCTAATTATGTAAAGTAACTAAAGGTACAAAATAAGTGGAGTAAAAGTACACTATATACCTCTGAATTATTGTGGAGTAGAAGTACAAAGTATACAACAATGGAAACAATCAAGTAATGCACAAGTACCTCAAATTACTGTACTTAAGTACAGTAATTGAGTAACCGACTTAGTTACTTCCCCCCTTTGCACATTTAAAAATACAAAATATTTCCTGGTCTCAATGTGACTGACACACAGGGAATAGTCAGAATCACTCTGGTGTCATTGTGAGTTTGTGTTCTTTTGAATGAACCATTATTCTCACTCAAACTTTCCATAGCTGGTAGGTTTGCCAGAGAAACATGAATGCAGACAAACATGCATTTCATGAGTGTCACAATGAAAAAGTACCTCTGCTATCAGCCCCATCCTAATGTAAATGAAGGGTCTAATATAATCAGGGACAGCAGACTGAAGAATCAGACGGCAGACGCTACCCACATTGAAATTTACATAATAAAAGACACTGATAGTGGATTTTCATGTATTACACCTCCAGCCTAAGAGACGAGCTACAGAGACACAATTATTAATTGAGCTATGCTTAGCATTGAAGAACTAGTATTGCCTTCAAGCAGGGAATCAATAAGATAAGAGTTAAATGAAGGTTTTGAAATTAAATTAAGAGAGTAACACATGCTATGCCTACATAAATATTTTAAGATCATGTTTAGATTGTGAGCTGCATGCAGTCTGCAAAAAGGGAATCAGGTAGAACCAAGTAACACAACTAATAAAAGACTCCAGACAAAAGTATTCATAAATGCAAAAAAAGATTATTAATAACTATTGACATATAAAGTTGAGTTTTTCCTTTTCCTATAACATTAAGATTGTGCATGCTTTGTGAAGGCTTTTCCGTGCAAAAATGTGTTTATCCAAAAATAAACTGGTTTCTTGTATTTTGGAAATCATGAGAAAAGGTTTTTCCAGGAAACATCTTTTGAACTTTGCATCAATATTTTGTGCACAACAGGTTGTGTTTGGTAATAATATGGTGTTCAAAACAGATTATTGACATTTATGACTAAGTGAACCACAGTGTTTTTTTAAAAAGGCATATAAAAGGCATGACAGCTCAGACTGCCTCACAGGATCCCACTGCACCAGGTAGACTTACAGGTACCCTGAAACCTCTTGTTGGATATTAGAAGGTCTATCCTTTGTTGGATTGTTATATGATCTAGATTTTGGTAATTGTCAAGAGCGACTTTTAAATATATTTTTAAATATGTTATTCCTACTTTTATTATTGATACAAAGAGGGTAGATTAAAATAAAAAATGAATGTAAACGTGTTTGTGAATTCTCACTCAATACCAGTCACATGCATTGTTGGCAAATGGAGCCTGGAGAGGGAGAAATTAAATCCCATTTGTTGATTTGAAACTACTCTTGTGTAGCACCAGGGTGACAATTATGCTGATTTTGTGCCAGTGAAAAGGTTTCGCTTGGGCGGGATCTGTCTTTACAGGGATCCGATGAGTGGGTGTAGCTGTTAAACCTGTAATGTCTTGTATAAAACAAGATGCAGAAAAAAACACTGATTTGTGAGCAGACCTTAAAGAAAGAATGTGTTTGAACACTGGCTATCCATGCGACTGTTTGACCGATGGCAATCTCTGTGAACCATGCAGGATGACCGTCAAAGACAGGGAGAGGGAGGAGGCCCACCTTTCCAACGACATCAATGTACCGGGTCGATCCGGGAGCACATGTGAACCAGAGCTGAACATCCCTTCAAATGGGGTCCTTAAGGAGCGTGGTCGACACCTCGGAATGATGCTATCTGTGATCATTTGTTTAAACATTTTGATCCTGGGATGTGCCTTGGTCAGCGGCAGTGCTTACAAAGAGGTTAATATCAGCAGCTCTGACATGCAGATTTTCCTCATCGTCCTCCTCCTCCTCACCTCCATCTGGATGGTTTATTATGTCACCTTCACGGCCAGGACAGAAAATGCTATTGCATACAAAGATTGCCATGCAGGACCTATTTGGCTCAGGGGTAAGTAATTTATTAGAATTACGTTTTTGTTGTATAATAATCATTTTGAAACAGTTGTATGATTCTGTTTATTGCCCCTTTAGGAGGACTTGTGCTGTTTGGACTGCTTACTATCATCATGGACATTTTCAAGATAGCCAGCTATGTGGGCTACCTCCACTGTGATTCAGCGGTTAAGGTTGCATTTCCTGTGGTGCAACTTGTCTTCGTTCTTGTGCAGGTAAAATGACCCATTACAAGAAATGAAGCTCAATTAATGTACTCATTCTTCATTATTGCAAAAATATTGATGAAATTGTGCAATCTCTTTGCAGACATACTTTTTGTGGATCCACGCCATGGACTGTGTGGAGCTCCAAAGAAACATAACACGGTACGTGATTATTGAATTTCATTCACTGTCTTTGTTAACAGGCTATTCCTGAGGGTATCTATGTGATACCTAAAAATGAACCCTGCTAAACAGATATTTTGTTCTATGAGACAATTGATAGTAACCTTGACAATTGAGAGTTGTTGTGTTGCGTAGTTGCTGCCACAGTAGTGATCAATTGCCATCAATAAATCATTTGGTTTATAAATGTCAGAGGACGTTTAATGATGCTTAACACAATTTCCCAGAGCCCAAGTTGACGTCTTTTACAGTCAAAAACGCAATGTTGTTCAGTTAACAATAATAGAGAACTAAGAAAACCAGCAAATATATATATTATATTTAATATAATATTAAACTGGAAACAGTATATTTTTGTATTCTTTCCGTCCATTGACCTAAAGACTTGTAGTTGAAGCTCCTATACATGGTTTGAAAATCATGAATTAAAGTAAGACTTCTTTTACTTGGTGGAAACTGAATTTTAATGTTGCACCAAAGTCACTAAAAGTTATTTTGTAACTGTTTTTGATCATTATTCTCTCTTGTCTTATTATTTAGCTGTGGGCTGATGCTAACCCTCTCCACAAATCTGGTTGTGTGGATGACTGCGGTCACTGAGGAGTCCCTTCACCAAACAACAGTTCCAGAATATCCAAGCAACACCACTAAACTCTCTGGACGAAGCCTATACATCAACAGAGGTAATTATAGAATTATAAGAAGAAGAAATCAAAACAGATAAAGCAATGACTAAAGTACCATGACATAACATTTCTGTGCCCTGTTATGTCCTACAGCGGGTTATGGTGACGATACCTGCAAGTGCAGCCACACTTCATGCAGCCTCTTCAAGGAGGCCTACTACTACTTGTATCCCTTCAACATCGAGTTCAGTCTATTTGCCTCGGCCATGACCTACATCATGTGGAAAAATGTGGGAAGAGTAACAGAAGAACATGGACACCGTAAAATCAAATTCTGCCCGACTGAGGTTTTTCTTGGTCCTGTGGCAGGAGTTCTCTTAGTGGTGGCGGGTCTGGCAACATTTATCGTGTACGAGATGGAAATACTTAAGTACAATAGGGATGAAGACAAGAAAGACAAAGTACTAATGATCCACTTTGTCATGAATATAGTGATAGTGACGCTAATGTCTGTTTCAACTGTGATCGGCTGTGCCATCTACCAGGTAGACCACAGGGAGCATGTATCAGACAAAAACCCCACCCGCAGCCTGGATGTGGGGCTGCTGGTGGGAGCCTCACTGGGGCAGTTCATCATCAGCTATTTCAGCATCGTTGCAATGGCTGTCACTGGAGCCAAAGGTTACCTAAACGGGCTCAACTTAGCATGGGCTATCCTGATGGTGATCCAACTCGGCCTGCAGAACTATTTCATCATTGAAGGTCTACATCGGGAGCCCTTCCATGAGGTGCAACCAATCAGTGTGTTGGCAAATCCATATGTGCTGCAGCCATGCAAAGATATGAGCATCCTTGAAGAATCAGACATGGACACAAAGCCCGGCCCGGTACTCACAGCAGACTGCCTGCACAACCACACAGTCGAGCACAGGCCTAAACTGTTATGGAAGAGACGGGTATTGAAGGAGGTTTGTGCGTTTCTGCTGCTGGGCAACGTCATCGTGAGTAGATTTTTTCCTCTCATTCTCAAAGTTACTGTATTAAAATTCAACAAGTGCTGAACTGGTTCTCATCTTTCTTTTTTTACAGCTGTGGATAATGCCAGCATTCGGTGCTCGTCCCCAGTTTGACCACGCCACTGAAACTGAGTTCTACCAATTCAACATGTGGGCTGCAGTTGTAAATGTTGGACTTCCATTTGGCATCTTCTACCGCATGCATTCAGTTGCCAGTCTGTTTGAGGTGTTTCTGACATCATAACACTGCGGATCACATGATGTGTATAGACAAATGTTTTGACAATAGAAAGCTGTTTTGTATAAAGTCTAGTTTGTTTGATGAATCTTTGTTATGTCTTTATAAATGTGTGAAGTAGTTCTTCACTGACAAATATCATCACTTTGTATACAAGTATATGTGTCAAAGTAAATGTATTCAAAACTTTATTTTCAGAAGTCAATAATAATGGATTGAAAAGCTGATCTTGTATGACATTATTTTTGTTTTAACCTATGTACACACAAAATAAAGGCAATATGCAATTGGTTGAGTAAGAGAATGATTGTGTCAACAATTGTTATGATTATAATTGTAAGGATTATTGTTGTAATTATTTTAACACAGGTGTAGTTAGCCGGCCCAATACAAAAGCTAAAGTACAAACAGCCTATTTTGAAAGAGCTTTGTAGTCGAAAACCAGTTTTTCTTTAGATCAGACTTTAGCCAATTAGGTGATCGAAGATATCGGAAAGAAAAGGAATCAACATTTTAGTACATTTTTAAGAAAATTACGAAACATTTTTATAGTTTCAGCCTAAATTGTGTTTTTTAATCTTTGACTGTAGGAAATTCTCATGGGTATTTTTCACTAAACGATTGACTGTATAGATTAAATCAATTTGACTATACAAGGATAATTAAACTAATTGCAAGTTGCAACCTTGAAATTATTCATTTTTGCACTAAATTAACAGTATACTGTTATAGCTAATATATGTGTTACCTTATTTGTGGCTACTACTGTGGCATTTAAAGTACTAGGCTATTTTTAAAGATATTGCAAACGTGTTAGTTCATGTAGTTTAAAATGTTTTGAAATAAGTGCCAGTAGCTGTGATACAAGAAATACTATGCACAGAGTCACTTGATTGAACGCACCCAACAAATGCTCTCTAAAGAAGAGCTTGAAAAAGCATACAAAAAAAAAAAGCCTTACCCTTTTGAGCGGATATGTTAGGTTTACCTTTGAGTCAGGCATATTAAAAGCCAGACCTCCCTCCTTTGGGTCCTTAGCACACGGACTTGTTTACTACACGTCACCAGGAAATACATCCCGGAGAATCAACATGCTAAGACAGGTGATCCATCCTAATGTAGTTTTTCGGGATAACTTAATAACTATATTTATGTTTGAGTATGATATACCATTAGTTGACATGTTATACCTTAACATGCATGTATTTTTGGATTGAAACTACAATTGAAACGAAATGAAAACGTTAGACATGTATTTTACAAATTAGCATTAGCGTTAACCTACTAATGTTTTCTCATGTTTTCAGGACTCCCAAGACGCTCCGCTTTTTGGTGAAGATGACGGTAACACGTTGGTTAGAAAGTCCAACATAAGGTGCTTCTTTTTGTGGTTATAGCTTAAAATTAACTATCCTGTTTTGATCATTGTTTTTTAAATAATCAAATCTGTGTTTCAGACATCCGGTGGTCTCTTTCTTTCATCTCTTCTTCCGAACAAGTGCCATCTTGGTTTACTTGCTGTGTGACATGTTCAGCAGTCGGTTCATTGCCTGTATGGTCACCATCATCCTCCTGCTGTCATGTGACTTCTGGACCGTCAAGGTGAGCAGGTCAGGTGACATAGGATCATTTATATTCTATGGACTTGCATGAAAACTATGGTTGCGGTCGGATAATCCAAAAATCTGCTCCTAACGTCTAACCCTATCGTCTATTCCTTGACCTCTGAGTGAAACGTCACGGGGTTAAGGGATAGTGGATAGGAGAATTCAAAAGGATTTAGGAGAAGAGATTGCTGTACTTTAGAGAATCCGACTGCACTTTCACTATCCGACGTGTTTATGATGCGCCAGCGGACGTCATTGTGTGCGTCTGCTGCTGTGGGGAAACTACAGTTTTCTATACAGCGGACTACAACATGGATGTTCAATAAGAACGAGGGACTACTGTAAACTCATCTAGAGACTCTGCACCGTGCTCTGATGCTGTTGCTTTATGCTTTATGAACGTGGACAACAGAGAAACATATTCTTCATGACCAAAGTTGGAATTGAAATAAAAAAGGAAAGTGAAACTTATGCTCGTCACCCTCTCCCTCCGTCCACATTAATACAAATGATCCCAATACGTATGATTGTATGAAAATATCTTAAATACAAATGTATTTATTATAAACGTTAGTCCTTAACATCTATCACTGTGTATATCACCATTCAAACATCTTTTAAAAGTTGAACAAACTCCACACAGCTCAGTAAAGACTGTGAGATGTTGACTTTATTTGATCATTTCAGTAAAAACTAACGTTCATATTTCTCTTTTTGATTATAATACTGATGAACGTTCAGAACAAAGCACTTTGGCAACTTAAATGCTTAATAAGCACCGTAACTTTCATGATATTATTTCTCCGTCATAATCGGTTGTTTCCGCGAACGGCCGAATGTTGTGTGACGGCAAATGCTGCGACTGCAAGGCATTGTGGGGCAGCATTTTCTCCTCTCCTTTCGGTGAGGGAGGTCCAGTGGTTCCTAAGCTAAAGGAGGTTATAAAGGAAGTTTGAAACCTCCTTTCCTATCATCTAGACTAGAGAATTGGAACGGCACTTCCGGGTCATTTCACTCCGTTAGGAAGGTTCCTAAGCTAAATGGACTATTCGACTTCAGCCCTAGTCATGTTTTTGTTTTCAACACAACACCTTGTTGGCGGCACATTTAGTGCTGCAGGCATTGTTTTCAGTTCCAAATATTTCGCAAGAATATTTCCTCGAATCATCAAAGAATCATTTAATAAGAAGTTCCTGTTCTTCAATTCATCATCACATGAAAAAAAAGTATTACATCCCTACAATAAATCAGCTGTGAGGAGCATGTTCGGCTTTTTTCTTAAAAATTATATAAAAACAATTCATTTGATTTTTCAAATTGTTGCATGTACATTTTTTTCAACACACAACAGAAGTTACATACTTATTATTTGTTGTTTAGTTTTGTCCCATGTTAAAATCAAATCAAAGTACCAGGCTTTCATTAACAGATGGATCCCCTTTGTTCACAGAATGTATCTGGCAGATTGTTGGTGGGCCTGCGGTGGTGGAATCAAGTGGATGAAGATGGAAAGAGCCACTGGGTATTTGAGTCACGGAAGGTAAGCAGATACATTTCTAGAATGCCTTGCAGGAATATGCACTGGGCTTTTTTTCAACTCAAGAAGAATGACCTTTTCCAAAGAAAGGTTTTTCTTCTGAAAGACACACACATTTATAAAAAACGAATCCCTTGTGAGCCAAACGGCCTCATCATGTTTCTTTTTTATTAGAACCAAAGTCCCTAGAAAGTAATACATATCTGAGTATGAGGATCTTCACACATGATGACTGCATTCTTGTATGTGCACCTACAGTTTCACAGGCAAGCTAAATAAACCTTACAGCATGTTCTAAGTATCAGTGTAACATTTGCACTCCTTATGTAGCTGCATGACCTTATTGAACAATCAAACAGTGTAACATAGAAGTGAAGACAATGGGGACATCGGACACGATTTTCGTAAGACTGACGGTTTTGTATCTTGGAATTCATGACACAAAGTCTTGTTTATCTTTCTCGATAGACACAAAGTCTGAACACAACAAGCGGTGCTGAGTCACGGATCTTCTGGCTCGGACTCATCGTGTGCCCTCTCTTTTGGATCGTTTTCGTTTTCAGCACCATTTTCTCTCTCAAGATTAAATGGCTGGTCAGTTCAGTGTTGTTTTTAAAGTTAATGTGGATTTAAATGGCATCTTATTTATTGTGGCGGTATATCTCATTCCTCTTTGTGCCCCACAGGCTGTAGTAATCATGGGCTTGGTTTTACAAGGGGCCAACCTGTACGGCTATGTCAGATGCAAGGTGGGCGGGAAGTCCAACCTGAGAAACATGGCAAAGAACTATTTCACCGTTGAGATTTTTAAACAGGTATGTGAAGAGTAATCATACTTCCCTTCATACAGTTTTGCCTTAATGACATGATAACTTTTAACATTTTTTTCACTAAAGGCAATGAAGAAAACAGAGGGACCTTGAAGTTGAACAGAATGAGTGACAACCCGTCTGCAAAATGATGAACGCATGATGCATAAATACTTGATTCTTGTTGGTCTTTTTTGAGGTTAAATAATTTCTTTCAAGTTTTTGATAAAGCATATTTTGTATATGTTGTTTCCTCCAAGTGCATTGACCGATTCAGGAATAATTGCCAAACGTTTTCTAAAGAAATCCAATGGTTGCTTTTGAGACTACATTCATACAGTAGTTTATGCAGAGATCAGAAATGTTATAACCTTTATTGAGGTAATGTAATTGTGAAATTGAAGCACTAGCATCACTGGCACAATCCTGAATAAGCTTTATTTTATTTTTAAAGAAGTTAAGAAGATTGTGTTTAAATCATTATTCCTGAGAGGATTTGGAACAAAGCAATACTTTAGGTATTTGTTTTCTAAAACTGGATTTTGGAGCTAAAAGTTATTTATGTGTTGTTTCAAGAAGCTTTATTTTGTTAAGGCTGCTATATTGTGGTGGATGATGGGGAGAAGTTTATAAAGTGTTGGTCTGATTTTGTACAAACTTTTCTGGGAAACTGTTGTACTTTACAATACATAAATAAATACATATTATACTAAAAATATCTCTGGATGGAAATGTAATGAACTAGTGGCTCACTATTCCTCTCATCAGGCATTCAACAATTCTGTATGTGTAATTCTTAATAACATGAATAGAGGTTAAAATATCAATAGGTCCAAGTAGGAAAACCTCAGCAGATACAAAGTGCAGTGTCCCCTGCCCACCTGCAGTGACTGCTTTAACCAGTAGGTGGCAACAAAGGACCATTTCCTTTATCTTTCATTTGCATTTAACATATTTGTATAGAAAGGCATTATACTACAACCACTTCATTCCAATACAAAATAATGCCACACATGTCTAAATATCATCATTGAGAAATCCTAGAGTAAAATATCCTGTTTATGAGGGCTGAAGGAACATGGTCTTGTGATGTGTGCTGATGTTAGTTTTATATATAATTCCATACACTGTGACTCAAAATGATTGAGGAGTGAAGCATTACATTCCTTTATTTGTATGATTTTCAGAAATATGTTCACATACATCTTTATAATTGAGTATACATCTGCAGTATTTGACTTTGTGAGCTAAACAAGTTTTATAAATGTAAGCTGAGATTGGCATCAATCGTTGCCTTTATATCCTGAACTTTGTGCGCTCAGTTAAGCTGTTTGTTATAGTATCAGCATGCATTTTATTAATACCAGAATTCAAAATGGTTAACCACACATCTATACTGTACCATAACAATTATCATGGCAATAAAGTATATAGTTCCGCCTATTGAATAGAACCAGAAAAATATCTTGTCCAAATTGTTGGCAAACTTCAAATCTCTGTCCTTTTTCAGTGTGTCTGCGTCAATAGCCTCCAGGAAGTTGACCACCCTTTTCAGCATTCCACCATCCTCCTCTGGGCTGCTAATCTGAACCACACTAACTTCAGCTTTGACTTCTGTAGGGAGTGAAGGCACAATGAGAGCAGGGTATAGGGTTTCATCAAAAATAAGGACTTTGTAAGCGTCAAAATCCCCTACTCAATAACAAAACAGAGAAGTCCTTTAAAGGCCAGGTCATTCTCACCCTCATCCTCTTTTTGTCCCTTTACCTGTGTTGTCGGGGACTGTCCCTTTGGAGCCGCAGCAGAATATGAGACTACCGTCTTTGGCCAAGCGTGTCAGCACTAGGGATACCAGCATGCTAAACACCAGGAGCACCAGACAAATGCAGAAGTGGGTTCCTGCAGCAAAGACGATGTTGTTAGTGACTCAAATGATGCTGCTGCTGTGTATCTATTTGGTTTGTGTCTGTCTGCATGTGAGCTGACTGACGGATGATGGGGCTGCAAGAGCTGTCTCCAGGAAGTATATCGTTGAGGATGTTGAGGAACACGGTGAAGCTGAGCACCAGCGTGACCTTGAAACAGTTGCGTTCACCACCTCCCAGCGGCAGAGCGAAGCTGACCATATCAGCCAAGAGGATCAGAATACTGGGCATCAGTAATGTTACAAAGGGGTTGGTAGGTTTGATTCTTAAATTCACCTGAGGAAAATGGCAGACAAAATGCCACATTACAATAGAGAAAGGCTATTACCACTTTTGCACCAATAAGGTGAATTCTTATCTATGATAAGTCTAAATGACCATGCTACACGTTCATGAACTTACCAGGATGTATTGACGGCTATCACTTTTATTCTGAAGTTCCACAGATTCAGTTTGCCAATCTCCCTGGCTACCATCAGGACTATGAACTTTCGTTATTACCAGTTTAGAACCACAACCTGAAAGAAAGAAAAGGGTACTCTATTGATTTCAACCCTATACCACTGACAGATTCATGATAGGCCTATGCAGTTTAAAAAAAAAGATCAAAATCAGTGCAGCAGAACCAGATATAGTCATTTTTATTCCATCTCTAATTCTGGCAAAACCTGGCGCCTACATTACCCGTATTTAAAAAAAATCTGAGTAAACTAATGTGGCCTAATTTTACGATGTATAAAAGAAAATTATGAAGATGCCTTAATAACTGGAAATTCATCAAGATAAGACCCAAAAAAACAACAGCGCAGTCACTTGAGACAAAAATGTTATCAAAATCTTCTTCAGAATAATCACAGATATGTTGATTGATGAGTAAAATAGGTGGTTACCATCGAGTTAGTGATACAAAAAAAAGCATAATATTTGTTTTCATAACATACCGGTATCGGACCACGATTGTACGGCGACTGGACAAGAATCAAAAGCGAATGGATAGTTGAAGAGGTTGACTTCACAGTTCACCTCTGCGTTTATGACCACAGAGTGCCTCAGTGTGCCATCACTCAGTACCAGCAGATCCTTGGAGTTGTGATTCATAGTTGATACTATTCTGCACAGGTTAAAGACAATAGATGTGAATATCAAGAGGTCCATTAATTACATGTGTTGGAATTGTGTCATGAACCTTACCCATTTGTTACAAGGATCTCTGGGGTCCAGACTTTTTCAATTGGCAGGACCACGTCTTTATAATCGTAATCTGCAGTGTTCCATTTCAACTCAGGATCCAACCATTCCTGTCGTTTCAAATCAAATTGAATGTGGTTAAAACATTTATTTATTTTGTATCCATCTGTAAATATCTGCAAACGTACAATGCGGGCTTGCAGACGACTGATGAGGCGCAGATTCTTTGTGTCCTGTTAAAAAAAAGTCAAAATCATTGGATGCTGATGGAAATTAGACCTGTGTGCTTGTGTCTCAAATTATTGCTGAGATTAATAACAGTTTGTAATGTATGTACTTTTTACCTGATCAAATTACATTTTCAACAAATATTCAGCAGGTACAGCAACATCACACGATACATTTGTATTTCTCTTTATGTTAACAGGTCTAAAAAGAGAAACAAGGTTCTCAGATAGCGGCACAAAACAGATACTCACAACTGCCAGAGTCTGGTACTCAATGAATGGCACTTTGATCACATGGGTGCAGTTCTCAGTCTGTGGCTGTGATAGAAGGCCTTTTTCGATCAACATTTCAGCCAGACATCGGCGACTTGTGCAGACTGCATCTCCACATCCTAAAGTAGAAAGAAAAACGAAGCATTAAATATACATAAATACTGCCTTTAGTGTACTACCAATATAAACCCTTCATTTAAGTTACACTTACCTACGTATAGTAAACTCAGTAAGAAGAGAGCTTTCCAGTTTCTCACAAATCTTAACATTTCTGAAAATAAGACTTCACATATGACTGATAACTGCAGACTGACTGATGGCTGTTTGCCACCCTGACATGACACTTAAATAGGCTGGACTGTGACGTTTTACAACATATTGGCACCACCGTGTAAGCAGGACAATATGGTCGTCTCATGTTCAGCGCATCCCGCAGTGATCCTGTGTAAATAGACAGAACACAAGTGCAATTACACTGTTTACCTGCCAGCAGACACAAGTCAAGCTCCAGCTGCTTTTTGTCATTACATCGTGCCATCCTGTATTTCAATGGGACTGTATGTTTAACGTGGGAGTCCACCACAAAGACAGGTTTCAGTGTATTCCAGGATGATCATTACACAGAATGGCTTTTGTTTTGACAGCTGCTGATGAATCCCTTACTTTTGACAATACGACACACATAATCACTAGGATGAGGTTAATTAGAATCTTTATTACAAAAAACTGCACTGCCACAACATTTATTTATGTCTTACATGATGAGGTTGTCATCTGCAATAATATACGATTTAACATATTTATGAAACAGTGTTATTCTTAAAATGAAAAAGTTACAATTTCATAGTCGTTGAAGGATAATATTTTGTTATTAATCTAATTTTATTACAACATTAAATAATTATGATGATTTAAAGTGCTAAAATAAGGGTCAGTACACAGTGTCTCTTAAAACTATTAAATATCAAATGTATCTCAGATTTGTAGGCATGCTCTTTTAATTAAAAAAGACCAAAAAGGTTTATCACATGACTGTATTACTGTCTTATCTCTTATGTGTTTCTGCTTTATTTCTGTGTATAAATAGTATTTCTCAAAATCGTATTTCTCAAAATCGTATTACCAAACGTGACTTTTGTACATTTTAATGGCCATGTGTATAAAAACAGAGTAGGGCATACATATATTAAACCTTTCATACAAGTTTTATGAATGTGATTTTATTTAAATGATTGGACCACTTGACCAACAGGTTTATCTTGAATATTTTACATTTGTGTCATATCAGATTGATCTGATCAATATCAGTCAACGCTGAGGTTATCAATGCCTGCTCTCGAATACGTGCCTCCCAGGGTCATCCTGCGTGTTGGACTTGCATTGTTCTTATTATCTCTTATTCAGGTTTTACTGAGAAAATACAGCAGCCTCTCGTCTCTCTTTGTCTGGCACCCAGGTTCAAAACACATTCTTTGAATTCTTGACTCCTATCTTTAAATCAGTGTTCTTTCACCACACAAAGCCCTCTGCCATAAAATCACTCTATCCCCGCCAACACGTTGTTGCTTTTTAATCATGGTACTTTATTCATTGAAATTATGGCTGTTTTTATTTAAATCTTTTGACATGTCGTAGCGTGTATTGTTTATAATACGACTAATTTAGTGATTTATCTTATATCCATCAAGTTCATATATACCTCATGAGTCAATTTTGACTCATGAGGTATATATATCAAGTAAAACACATATGTTGTGTCTTTAAATTGTGTCAGTTTATTTGGTACACCTGTGCAATTGTGAGTTAACACTACCTGTCAAATAGGCCAATCCGGGGTCAGCAACCTAATGCATTTAGACATGTGGACATGGTGATCTGCTGAAGTTTAAACCAATCATCAGAATGGAGGACAAACTTGTTTAGGTTTCCTGAATGTAGCATAGTTGGTAGTGCCAGACAGGCTGATTTGAAGTTTTTAACAGTTTTATTTGTCTAGAATTAGCAGAGAATGGCCTTATAAAAGAAAATATATAGTGAGATCACATTGGCTGGTAAGAGATTTGCTTTAAAGGGCCCTCTTGCCCAAATAAAGTGCCCCGATACAACCAATGAAGAGGTTACAAATTCCTAATAGAATGTCTGCACGCACACACACACACACACACACACACACACACACACACACACACACACACACACACACACACACACACACACACACACACACACACACACACACACACACACACACACACACACACACACACACACACACACACACACACACACACACACACACACACACACACACACACACACACACACACACACACACACACACACACTTCAGGGGACATTACATTGACTTACATGCATTTCCTGGAGACTTATCCTAACCTTAACCATAACCAACACATGCCTAACCCTAACCCTTACCCTTACCCTAACCCTAATCCTAAACCTAACCAAGTCTTCACCCTAAAATTAATGATTCCCCTCATGGGGACCTCCAATTTGTCCCCATAACGTGACTATGTAAACAGATTTAGGTCCCCACAAGTATAGTAATGCTAGACCACACACACACACACACACACACACACACACACACACACACACACACACACACACACACACACACACACACACACACACACACACACACACACACACACACACACACACACACACACACACACACACCCAGTCTCACGGCATTTCGTGTTCACCAACACGATTTTTAATCTATTGATTCGTGTTCACCAACACGATTTGCCCCTTTTAGCACGATTTTAAAAGCAATGTATTTCTACTGCCTGTGTCAGTACCAGATATGTTCGGGCTACCAGATATGTTCGGGTGTATTTCCGTCGCATCCGTCATCCGTCATATTCGTCATATTTTACGGCAACTCAAGAGGGCCATCACGGTCAAATTCCGAACATTTAAACATAGCCGACACTTCATTCTTTACTTTGTCCGTTATTATATGTAGAAGATTATACTTTTTCTCCGTCATGTTGTTTCCTTAGCAACAACTTCAAACAGGCATAGCCTACACTTCATTCTTTACTTTGTCCGTTATTATATGTAGAAGATATTAATTTGTTCTCCGTCATGTTGTTTCCATAGCAACAACTTCAAACAATAACAACTAACCGCTAGCCGCAAAGCTAGCATCACAGCCACTGCTCCGTTTTCGGAGACTTTGTACACGTTTTTCACAAACATTTTCACACGCTAGGAGTACTTCCACTAGCTTCGTCTTGATCTGTAGATGTGATTTGATGTGTCGTGTGTCCCCCAACTCCTCTCCAAAGTTCAGATATTTAATAAAATACTCAGGGGAGTTTCCTGAATTTTCATGCCCAAAGCCAAGCACTAGGCCCTGGGTAAATTAAGAGGCTGATCTCGGGCACTTTTGTCCACTTTCCCTGGTGGTCGAAACTCAAGCCAGACATCCCTGGAATCGTCTCAGAGAGTAGATGATCAGTGGCGCCTTGTTTTTACTGAATGATGTGTTTTTTTTATGGGGAATTCAAATATGAGCTTATTTTTAGGATTTTCTGAGACTTTGCACACGTTTTCACAAACATTTTCACGCTAGGAGTATGGGAGTACTTCCATTCGCTTCGCCTTGATCTCTAGATGTGATTTGATGTGTCGTGTGTCTCCCAACTCCTCTCCAAAGTTCAGATACTATATAAATATACTAAAAGGTAAATAAAACATTAAACATAATGACAAAATAACAACTTGAAATATATGTATTCTATCTACACGTTTCGTAATTATCTAATCTAGTGGCCTTATAAAAGTGTTGGCTAAAGTAACGCAGAATATATATTTGTTTTAATTGTAAATAATTAGAAACATTATTTATGTGCACAAGTACATGGGACCCCACCATAGCACCCCACACATAACAAGCTGTCCCGAGTTCCTCCGGCTGCAGTTCCGCAGACGGCCGGTGTGTGGCAGCAGAGCGCTATATGACGGATATGACGGATGCGACGGAAATACACCCGAACATATCTGGTAGCCCGAACATATCTGGTACTGACATCTGCAGCACGTCTTTTTCTCCGGTCGGGTCGTGGGAGACCGGAAGCTGTGTGGTTCATAAAAACATGTTCTTACTCAATATCAAGCCACAGTTATTGCTTTTATTTTAAATCGTATAATTTCGGACTTTTGTTGCCGTCTGTGAGGAAAATAAATGGGGCTCAGAGCCTCAGGATACTGAAATCTGTATTTTTAAAATCTTTTTTTCCTTCTAATTTGTTATTCTTTTCAAAATAACACACTGTTATTTACTCACCAATAACACATAATTATCCTTGCTTTTATTTATTGGTTTAATTCCATAATCTCGGGCTTTTTTGGCGTCCGTCAGGAACTGAATTTCAAAATAAAATAACCGGAAACAGACATAGGCCTATAAGGGACATTTCGAGCCGAAGACACTACACTACCCATAATCCCTAGCTGTCGTTTAGGACTACAGTCCCGTAAGGTTACGCAGAGCGTCAAACAGCTGTGTGAAATGGAACGAAACCACGCCAGACTATCCAAAACCGAATCGAACGCCCCCCCAGAACTACACATGCTGGCTATTGTGTTTCGCAAAATGTTCTATGGGACGTCTCTACTGAACGTTTTCGTTTTCCCCACAATTAGAAGTTGTCAGTATTAAACACATTGGTGTTATCAAATGTAAAACATATAATTAATAAATGGGTGAAAATCGCTTGTGTCCATAATGCGCAGCATTAATACCCACATGACAGCTCATTGTTACTTTGTAATTCTACTCCACTACAATTCAGAGGTTAACCTGGTATTTGTAATCCACTGCATTTATTTGAGTTACTTTGCAGATTCTGATTAATTATGTGAAATATAAACAACCCTTAAATCAGACTTTAGTTACACCTGAGTAAAATTCAGGTATATTTGATAGTTGGTGCTTGAGAAGACTAAACATGTATCTGCAATTTACATGAATGGAAACGAGTAATAAAGTATATTCATTACTCGTTATTCTCTACTAATAGTTAATTAAAGACTATATTATGGCTATTTTGCACATCCCTTTCAAGATTTTCAAAGGTTTATTGACATATCATATACACAACTACGGTGTAGTTATGCAATGAATGAAACACTTGGGTCACAGGTTCCTCAACAAGACATCTATCAATATGTGTGTACCTCCACCATCAAACTGTCATATTCTGCACATTTTTTATTATATCTACATACATAAGAGTATAATTCATATGTATAATATCTGTTA